TGTGTGTGTGTGTGTGTGTGTGTGTGTGTGTGTGTGTGTGTGTGTGTAGGCACGGGATATTTGGGTAAAATGCTACTTCTAGCTATTTATTTATTTATTTATTGTTTTACTATCGGCAAGTCTTACTCAGAGCTTTTATCTTTGTTCTTTCACTGAACTTTCTTTTGTTGCGTATTTATTTAGCAGCAGACTTTGATCTTTTGGTAGCCTTTACATTGTTCTTTGTTTGTTTGTATGTTTATTTGTTTGTTTTGTTTTAAATTTCATGAGTTGTGCAATGACAGCTTTTTTTTTTTTTTTTTTTTTGGCAACAGAGCAGAATTTCTCTTTGGGGCTTTCTGAAAACTTGAAGGTGAAAATAGTTGGCACACCTCCTTCAGAGTCTTTATGAGAAAAAAGACCAAATCCTAAAATTGATTGCTAATGAGTCATTCTGAGTACTCAGTGGCATAGCATGTGAAATCATAAAGAATAGCAGAGAAATTTAAGCTTGGCTTCATTTCTATGCATAATGAAGCAATTTTCAGTCATCAAATCCTCAGTTATTTCTACCCTCTGTATGTGCACATTCAGCTTGAATCCAGACATGGGAACCTGAAAGAGTTAACACAAGCGTCCATTCTCTCTGGGGCTGACTTTGTTGTTGGCTCTGTCCTGGAACAAATTACACACTCAGTGTACAGTAACGAGATGGCATGTTTTTAAAACTGTAAAATGGTCAGAATAGATAAAGCTTTTTTTTTTTTTTTTTTTGAGACAGTCTCATATGGTCTAGACTGGCCTCTAACTCAATATGTTGTTGAAAATGACCTTGAACTCCTGATCCCCCTGCCTCTGCTTCTTGAGAGATTTTATTTTGTATTTGTTATGTTTATGTGCTTGTTTGTGTACCTATAGAAGTTTATTTGCACCACATGTGTTTCAGGGCCCACAGAGGGCAGAAGATGTTGAATCCCGGGAACTGGAATTTCTGGCAGTCATGGGCTTTGGTGTGGTTGCTGGGAGCTGAATCCTGATCTTCTGCAAAAGCAGTAAATTCTCTAAACCACTGAGCCTATCTCTCCGCTCCAAGGCCAAGAAATTTAACCATGAATTTCTGTTCTAGTATTTCATCTTTGATGATCACTTTTTCATGGGAGGGCCTGTTTAATGTCTCCATTTTCATATTGGTTATGGGGAGGTCTTGAGAAAAAAAGTTTATTCTTTTTTGTCTGATAGTACGTTTTCTTCAAATAACTATCTTCCTTGTTTTTCTCCATAGAGACAATTGAGGCAAAAGGAATAATGTCTTAGTTCTTCTCTGTCTCTTTAGACATGTTTGACTGATGAAGAAATGTATCTCTTATGACTTGATTGCCATTGACCTACCCTCTCCTCTGACCCCACAGTGAGCTATCACTATGGGCATCTGATCTTACCTAGAACACCCTGTAGGGACATGGCTTGGCATATTATACATTGTCTGTTGGCACTCTGTCTGCGTGACAGAATAGCAGATTCATTTCTGGATTCTTGCCCTGGTTGGATATGAATTTTTGCTTTCAATGAGAGGGCAGAACGATGTCAGTTTATAAGCATTTGAGGGAAATTTGCCATCATCAAGATGTTTTTAGGAGACTTTGATGGAATTCTTCTTCTTCTTCTTCTTCTTCTTCTTCTTCTTCTTCTTCTTCTTCCTCTTCCTCTTCCTCTTCTTCTTTCTCTCCTCCCTCATCTTCTTCCTTCTCTTTCTTTCTGTTAGCATACAAAATGATTGGTTGGTTTTGGGGTCCACTTAAATCCAACATAACTCAAAAACCAGGTCAGTGCAGATGGCCAAATTATATTGTCATCAAGTTGCTACTGATTGATCAGGGCCAAAGAACAGACTCAGGAGCTGAACTACAGCCTCGAAGGGACATTGTGTAGCATATTTAAAGAATGAAACCACAAAGCAAGGGGGAGCAGGGTGGGCTGTAGCATTGTCCAATCGTATTTTGACATAAGGGGTTAAGCAAGGGAGTTTCCATCAGTCAGGGTAACAGTAGGTTCCTGGGCCTGAGAACATGAACTTAGTTGACCCTGCCAGCAAGATAGAAAAGCTGTTCTTGAAATGACTGGACTCAGACAACTGTCTGCTTACAAATTGTTTCTGAGATGGCTTGACTCAGATAACTGTGTCCTTACAACAGAAGCTGTTCAGCTTTTGGGAAGTCCCCAGCTCCCCTAGTGCCTGGAACGTTGAACTTAGTTTCTCCCTGTGATTAAATGGAGTCTAAAACTAAATGGTAGTACTTAGAATAAACTCCCTTTGCTTGTTCTCAACAGTTGTATCTTGGCATTTTCTTACTTTGTTTTTGTTGCTTCCCCCTCTGGTCTCCTTCCTCCTTTGACGTAGCTCCAATTCTAATTTCACATCACATGTAATCTGTTATTGCAGGTGTTTTAAAATGTGACTTTGCAAGACCCCACTTGGGTCAGAGCTGCTATGCGTGTTATATAATATTAGCATAATCTACTTAACATATTATTTTGATCAAAATTTATATCAATAGCCATGATTTAAAAATTCATAGATCAAGAGAACTCTTTAGCAACGTTTTAAGTCTACTCACCTAAAAATTATGCAAGCTCTTTCCTTTCAAGAGTTAGAAGTTGGCACATGCAAAGAAATGCCTGAAATTGCAAAGGTGGAGAGAAATGTTAGTTTCTTTCTGGCCTTGCTGGTTCCAGGGAGATGCAACTGTGTGTAAACTGCTGTGCTAACAGGCCATGCATCCAGAATAAGCAGACCCAGCACTTCCTGTTTGAACTAGAATCTACCAGTATATGTTAAAGTCATGTTTACTCCCTGCTCTGTGGCTTAGCATTTACATCTTGTACTTGGAGGGAAGTTTTCTACCCAGAATCCTCAAGTTTATCCTCTTCCAATTTTGATTTACTGAAAGACCAATATGCAATGTTTTTGTGATTGTTTTAAGTATTATATTTCAGTTCTGCTTTAATGCACTCCTTTTCTATAGCTTCGCAACAAACTACCATGAATTGTGGTTAAAACCTCATCCATTTAGCGTCTCACAGCCCTGCAATATGTGGTTGAGTTTTCCTCTTCAGCTTTCATAAAGCTAAAAAAAAATCCAACATGATGATTAGGTACCAACATTCAACACGTTGTTTAGGTACTCTTCGGGAGGCCTGAGGAAGAAACTACTTGGAAGTTCATTCAGATTGTTGGCAGAGTCCACTTCCTTGGGGACAGACTCCTATGCTGGCTTCTCTCTTTTTCCTAGGGCTGAGGAGAAACATTACTCTCAGCTCAGAGAGGTTTCTCTGAGGTCCTGTCATGTGTGACTTGCTCTCAGGGCTGGCTATAGAGAATCTGCTATCAGAGGGAGTCTCTCATGCTTCAAATCTCTCTCACTTCTGTCTGTGACGTCTAGACTTGAATTTAAAAGGCTCTTGGGATTAGGTTGGTCCTACCAAATAATCTCCGCTTTATGAAAGACAGCTGAGCCATGTAACACAACTAAGGGAATAAGTCCGTCGCAGTCTGGGTTTTGAGATTAGACAGCACATGTACATTTGGTGCGGACATCTCAAGGTTGACTTAGCATTCTGCCTCCTACAATTCAGACCGATGTTCATTACATAGCACTATGAAAAGTTGGCTGTGAACACATTCTGAAAAGTCTTTTTTGGAAGAAAAGGGAGCTGTCACATGCAGTTTCAGGTTTTAAAGAGCAGTTTATTGACAAATTCGACAGCAATTTGCATGGTGAGAAGACAGCATTTTATTTCACTGAGTGTTCATGTGAGTTTATGAATACACAGGATATTTTTAACCTGTCTTACTTTAAACCATCTTAGAAGTGATTCATGCTTCTGTAGCTTAAGTATCCTAAGCCATAAATCACAAATAATTCCATAACAGGATAAATTAAACCTTTGTATAATTTTAGCAAGAACTCAAGTTGGTTCTTGTTCTTCAATAATATTACGTCACCCATATGGATTACCTAAATTGACTTTTTCTGCATCTAGAGTTCTGCGAGTATTTATTGTATGAGAAGACTAAGCTGGAGTACTCACCAATGGACATTCAGCCCAAGATGTGGTGGTGTGGGTCTGTAATTCCAGCAGTTGACAGGCGGAGTCAGGAGAATCAAGAGTTCATGGCCAGCCTTGGCATAGTGAATTTGAGCCACCTTGGGTACATGTTCTTGAAGATGAACAAACAGACAAACAAAATGGAGAGAGAGAAAAACCCTATAACTCTGGGATGTAATATTCAAATATCTTAGAGGTAAACAATCATAGTTAGTCCAAGGCCTTCCTGTCCTGTAGCAGATACATCAGTAGTCAGTCTTTCAACCTGGACTTTTCCCAAACTGTACTGTTTTGTATGCAACCCATATACATTTTTGGTTTTCAACATCTAGGAATGTAGAAGTAACTATATATAATATATAACTACCACTTGAATTCAACGTTCAGGCAAATTTAATGTCTTTAGAGAACATTCATTTTATAATTTAAATGCAATTATCACAACTTGTGTGGAATTTGATTTATTTAAAAATACGCTAAAAATCTATCCGATATCGACTTCTTCTATGTTCAAAGGATATAACCTTGTATTCATGACTATTTTGAGGATATCTGTATGCTTTATGAGTAAAACAAATACAGTCAGTTTTACGGAATATATTGTTTGGTCAGGAAAGTATTGGCATGAAAATGCTTATTTTGTTCTGTAGTATTGGATGGTGAATTAAAACATACTAATTGCTTTCTTCTTTTTCTCCCCTGTCTGATCTTATTGCCATAAGAAATCTTATTGCTATCATTCTAGCAAATGAATCTGAAAAGTATGCTGTTGCTGACGGACTGTTATTGAAAAAAAGCAACATGACAAATTAAATGTGTTGTTGAGGTAGTGAAATTGTGTAATAAAGTGAGTTTCCTGTTCAGCCCTGATAGAATTGTGCCTTTCAGCAAATTGAGGTTAGTGATTTCAACCCAAAGATCAAGTTGCAGTAATTTTCATCTTGAGTGTTACCCAATCATAGAAAAATAAGCAACAGTTACTCAGCAGATGTCAGAATCTTTCTAGAAAGATTCTTCTCAGTGGATGAGCTAACACTGGTGCTGCCTGTGGCAGAAGGAGACAGTGAGGACAAGCACTTAATAAGATGTATTTTACTCAGATTTTCAGGTTCATAAAACTATTTGCAAGCATTTTATCTTTCGACACCTCTAACAATCCTTGTAGAAAATGGATGCCGATTTCATCTGGTCTGTAGGTAATTGATGCTGCTTTATATGAAACAATCAGAGCATGTTATAAGTTTTTTCTTGTTGTTGTTTTGAGACAGTGTTTCTCTATGTAGTCAGTCCTGGCTGTCCTGGACTCATTTTGTAGACCAGGCTGGTCTTGAACTCACAGATATCCTCCTGCCTCTGCTTCCCGAGTGCTGGGATTAAATGCATGTGCTACCACTGCTATGCTGCATGTTACAGATTTGAAAACCAAGGATGAAGCTAGTTACATATACACATCTTGCCAGGAGAATACAAAAGAATGAAGTGACAGTTTGTATGAGGGTGGAGGATGCCGATCCCATCACTTTTGTGGGCATAATGAAGTGTATTTATGAAAATACTTCACCTTTCTTGTGTGGACTGTTTGAACGATGGGGTTAAGAATAGTTTGAACTTTAAAGTAGCTGGTTGGCATTGCTGCAGCTTTATGTTGCTAACTATGGCCAGGGCAATTGGGAGGAAATCACATATTACAACCTTCTTCCTTTTGCAGCTCAACTGCGCCTAGACTCCATGCCTCCTTTTTGTATCTAACCATTCTGAGTACCTTCTAACCAAGACATAGCTTTGTCCACATTCTTCAGGTGCCCATACTTCCCTCCTTATCAATTCTACTTTGGAATGACAGTTTGTGGCCAGAGGGCACACAGATTTTCTTTCTAGGACACAGGTGGTGCAGAAAGAGCTGGGGTCCTCATGGATTTCAGCTACTTCCTGCTAAGCAGTCAGAGCCTAGTGAAGAGAACTGAATGAGGAGGCAAAATGTGAGAGGAGCTGGGAGCCAGTATGGATTTATGAGAAGGTTTGGGTGGCAAAGCAAGGTCAAACTGCAGTGGTTTGTTTTCTTCTCTCTGCTATCCCTCTTCCATCAAGTCAAGAGGCTGTTATCGGTTGCTAGTGTTATGACTGGGCACATCCTTCCCAGGTCAAACACGCTGCAGTCTGCAAAGCCAGCAGTAGATTGCAGTCCTCTGCAGTCCAGCCAGGTTGGCAGAATTTGTGTGAGCCTGTACTGCTCTAGCTACACGACTGAAGGTGTGCCTTTGATGGGGTACTTGAGGGTAAAAACAGTGAAAGCTTTTCCTGTCAAGACAGAGTCCTCTAATGTTTTAAGAATATAGACTTATATTTGACAGGGCAAAGCTAAACCTGACCCTCACAACACCCCTAAATATGGATTTCCATGGTGTTTAGTCTGTGGCAGGTAATTTAATTTTCTCCTAAAAGTGATGTGTGTTATGGTTTTCATTTTATCATTCTGCATCAGATGTCCCATTTGGTATTTTTTATTGATGCAGAAAATATTTAAGGACTAACTAATCAATTAATACTACCCTGGGAGAACACTGACTTGCCATTTTAACAGCAAACTCTCTTTGTGATTTTTTGCAGCCTCGTCAGCCCAACCCTGACTGGCGTTACTCTGCTTCCTTAAGAGCAGGCATGCACAGGTATGTGTTTTCTTCCTCCCTCTCTCCTGCCTCCTTCCCTCCCTTCCTTCCTTTACTTGGGAGTAACTTGAAGTGGGCTTTGTTAGATAAACTGTATCTCCACAGCCCAGAAGCAGCTGTTTTAATTGAGAAGCTTAAAAACTGCCCGGGAATGCAATTATTTTGGTCTCCATGATTATTTCTTGAAATATGGGAAGTAATCAGTGCCAAGTGCTTATTGAGTGCTGGGAAATGAGGATGCCATATAGAACCAGAGGCCGGTGTTGGTACTCTCATCAAAATTCCTGCAAAGATGTGTCAGTTTAAAAGGCATTTACTTCAACATAAACCTATTTTAAATTTTCTGTGATAATTCTAGCTCCTTCATCCCCTTTCACCTACACTTTCTGTCTCTCTTAAAAATTATAATTAGTGCAAGTCAGCCACTTTCAGGTTTGAGTACATTATAAATGTATATACATACAGTATTTCCTATCTCAAACTCCTTGTTCTCCTAGCTCACACTGAGTCTGTTAGCCATGTTAACTGATAGCTATTCTTGTTTATATGTTTCTCCCTTCTGGAATCTTTTGTCTTCTCCATCATTTTGCTCTCTTACCTATATAATCAGCCAATATAACGGGCCATGTTCAGGACTTTATTGAATATCTGGAGACCAAATCTAGCTTGCTTTAGATTGACCTAGAGTAATAGCATTACTCGAGACTCAGATTTAATATAGTTTTCTCTTTTCTATTTGTCTCTTTGACAGTAACTGATTCCCAGAGCTGATGTGTTCATGCCATGGGGGCAAATGAAAGACTCATTATTTGTGACTGTCTTTGGAAGCCAGATAGGGAGACTCAAGAAACTAATGATTGTATTAGCAAAAGAATTTTTGAAGAAGAAATGAACTGCAGACTTTAAGCCCCTCAAAATATCTGGACAATTATTAATTGAGTCTTCATCAAACCTAGGTCAATGTCTAAAGAGAAAACTTACAGAAGTGTATGTGTAGAATTAATGAAGAAAATATAATTTCATCTCATTAAACATGCATTTAAATGTATTACATTAAAATAAATTAATGCTTTCTTAACCTTACAAATGAGGAGAGATTATTATGTGATTACTATTTCTGAATCAGAAGTAATAAGGGAAGGGCTGAAGGTTGGTAACTGACTTGGTGAGATGTCATGCTCGAACCAGGGTCATTAAGCTAGAAGCTCTCATACACATGCTGTTGTGCTAGGCATAAGAAGAATTGTTTATACTTTCTAGGGATGAACTGTGCTTTTGTCTGTATCTGGGATGTTTGTGGAGCGGTACATGAGTAAATTAAGCTCATTTTGCAGTATCAGCTTTTACCATTGTGATTGAATTAGTGTTTTGCTTGAAAGGTACTGAAGCTTTGAGGTGAAGCTTTTTAAAAACTGTGTTTAAAATAAAATATTAAAGGAATTATCACTTTCTTTCCCCATAAACAACTTGCTCCTTTCAGGTTTCAGTTAAGAAATTTAAGTAGGTAAGAAATGAAATACAATTTGAAACTAAGATGTTTTATTTTTCTCACAGTGTAGGGCATTAAACATGTATCAAAGCTGTGACCTTAGAAAAATGCCCTCTTTTCACAGTGCAGTTGGCTTCTTGACCTCTTTAGCCTTGGGCATCATGTCACTCTTATTTTACTTTTTTAAATCTGCTTTGAGCTGAATTGGTTGTAGAAAATTATGTCTTATGTCCTTATACTTTTCTGGTAGGTCCAAGAATACCCAAAGGATATTAATATTTGCAGAAAAGAAATGAAAATTCTAAGTTGGAAATGAAGGGTAAGGGTGTTAAGTCAAAGCTGAGTCAGTGGATTTCTACCCAGTGTGTTTGGAGTGAAAGAGCAAGGGACTGATGGGTGTATAGATCCCCTCTCCTGTAACTGCTCTACTTATGATCTGTTGTCCCATGTAACTACTTCAGTCAGTTGCCAAAGTTTTACTAATTTAATTTGAGGTTAAACAAATGTCTAATTTAAAAGTGCCCCCCAATGTTGGAAAAATTTGCCAGCTACTGAGTTGGGATCCGTTTTCCTTCGTCTATCTGGGTATATTTGAAGCTCTGGTGTGCACTAGGTATAGACATACACAAACAGATATTCTTCCTGCCCTTGGACAGTTTGTTTTTCAGAGTCTCTATGAGTCTCTGAAGTCATGTCCTGGCAGTGCTTTATGCTGATCTCTTCTGGATCTATGAACTGCTGTGATTGGGCTTCTCTTGTCTTAGGATATGCTGGGTAGGTTGCTTATGCATAGAATAATACAGAAAAAACAAAACAGAAACAATGCTAAGAATTAATCAGGTCTGGTAGCTTTTGTTCCTGTGTGCTCATCCTACTGTTCCTTTTAGTATATTAAAAAGAAAAGCCACCTTTTTCTTCCAGTTCAAAACTAATAAAATAGTTGAGCTGGGTATGGTAGCACATGTCTAATACCTCAACTTAGGAGATAGTTAGAGAAAGACAGAAACCTCAAAGCCGATGGAGCAACTTAGTGACATGCTGTTAAAGTCAATTAGGAAGGGCTGGGGATGTACCTGAGTGACAGAGACCTTAGCAAGCGTGTATGAGGCACTGTGTTCAACTCTCAGCGGTGCATGCATAACCCGCCTCCCAGGAATGAGTTGGGTAGCCAACCTGATGTTATTGCTGACAATATTAGTATGCTTAATCTGAGAGAGGGTTGGGAGTTTGGAGAGCAAGCTTCCCTCATCAGCATTGAAATGTTAAGATGGCATTTGTCCTCTTGTGGGTTTTTTGTTAGATTTAGTGGGCACCACAAGGCATTAATGAAAACCAAAACTGCCATAAAGACAGAACACGTTATTATCACTGTAGCACAGCAAGCAGTAAGTGGGCAATGGTTTCGTAGTTTTACAAGGTGACTGCTCAGCAGTAATGGTTGCAGTTCAAGCATGAGCAAGGAGTGTTAGCTGCAGCCCTCCCTTCATAATGGAGACAATTTCTGAGGGCGGGAGGAGAGTTGGAAAAGCATTTATGGTCTAACTGTTATCTGGGTTTATATGTTTATTCAGCTCTGTTCACCTGGAGGAGGCGGGCATCCTACGGGCTGGTCCAGGAGGGCCTGATCAGCAGTGGCCAACAGTATCCAGTGCAACACCAGGTAAAGAGCCAGGCTCTCACTTTTCATGTTAATATTAAAGGCTGAAGAAACGGGGAAATTCAGGAATGAACCCACGTTCACACAACTTCTGAATAGCGGAGATAGGGTTCAAACACAAGTGTATCTTGCCCCAAATCCAGCCGTATGTGACATGGCTGCAAAGCATACTGCCTCACAAGAATCCACCCAAATTAAAATGAGTACATTTGTAATACATAACAGATGACATAGAATGTGTATATAAAGACTTCTTTCTAAAAATAACCAGATGCCTTTCAAATGATTAGGCTGAATAACATGTGCAGCTAAGGGTCTATTTTTTGCTGTCAACTCTAAGGATTTTCATTTATTCTAATCAAGTAGCATTTGCTATTTATGAGTGTTTCACAAGTCAAGTAAAAGTAAGATTTGTCAAAAATGCACAAGTTGAGGCAATTTATTAGACAGCTAATATTGCCAGATGGTAAGGGGAAGAACATGAAAGAGACCATTGAGCAAATCTGCAATCCCAGTGCAATGAAGAGTGAGGGAAAGAGAGTGTTTTCAGAATACTTAACTGTTGTAGGATGAGGAGGCACTGAAACAGTTTGGAGCTACTCAAAGCTGCGCATGAACTCATGCTTGGCCACCCTCCCTACCTTTAGGGTTAGTGTTGCTGTCATGGGGACATCATGGGTTAGTTTGGTAAACTAGGAGCTAGCTTTGAATATACCTTCTCATTAATGATGTTGGTTGGTGTAAATTCCTAGGTGCATGTGAAATGGGAACATTTATGAATTATTTCATGTTTCTGAACCAGGTTTGTCCTTCACAGTCAAAAGGATGTTAGGGCTGTATATCCCTAGTGCATATGTGTGAGTATGTATATATGTGTGTATGTGTGTACATATACGCATATACACACACATATATATGTGTATACATACATACACATACATGTACATACATGTATTGGCCATCAAGCAGAGTGCATCCAAGATCTTTTTTCTTTAATTTTTTTTTATTTCTAAGAGTTTCATATGTTTATACAATGAAATATCATATCTAATCCCTATTTACCCCTTCCAACTTTCACTATATCCCTCAATATGGACCCTCCTAACTTCATGGCATTTGTTATGTTGGCCCACTAAGTCCAGTTAGAGCTGCCCAGATGTGCATGGGTGTGGAGCCACACACTGGAGAATGGGAAACCTACCAGTTACCACTTCCTCAAAAAAAAAAAAAGTTCCCATCAGCTTCTTAGGTAGGGGCATGGCCCTCTAGCACAACTGTTCTGGCCCATATTTTTGATGGACATAGATGGTGAATCTCCATTGCTCTCCTTGCTTATCGGCTTCTGACCCATGATTCATGGCCCTCATGGAGTGGGTAGAGCTCACATTTACCACTTACTCCGCCCTGACCTAACCATGCTTTTTGAAATGCCTCCACACCAATTACATGAAGTAAAAGGGTTCTCTTCTGCTTCTGCCCTGTCCTTTGGACTTTGAGGCACCGGAACTCGAAGTGTGCTCTTTGTAGAGGAATGGCATAAAGATTAGGATTATGATCTAGAATGAGAGCTGAGCTGAATTCCAGTGTCAAGCTTCCTTACTGAGCGCACATCGACAATGTGCCAAAATGTATGCTCTTTAAATTATCCTTTCTGGAAGCTGAAAAAACAAAGCAGCACCTTTGATATTTGACTTGTCATGAGAACTGAAGAAAAAAGAAGGGCTGAACAGTGCGTGGCAGGTATCACCAATGCATACGTAGTCTGCTAACCCTATTTATTTTAGGGGCGAGGGGTACTTTCATAGCATTTAATCCACTATCTGGCTTTGACGGATGCCATCCATCATGGTTAGAATCCAGTAGTTCTCATTTGTAGGTCCAGATTCAGGTCTTCTGAGGTTTCCTGGATCATTCAAAGATCCATACATTCCAGTCACCCACCTCTACCCCCTGGACATTAAGTGAGGAGGGTTTGTTCGTTGCTCCCAAAAGAAAAGGAAAATGCTTCTCTAAAGTTGATTTTCAATCTCAAATGAAACCTTCTTTACACTGACACTGTCACTCCATGTGCTTCATGGAGTGAAGGTGCTTCTGGGAAGTTTCTTCCTTGTGCTTGCTGCCCTTACACTTGTGTCAGCAATTCCTGTGCCTTGCCATGACTGTCGTTTTCATGCCAACACCGGCAGTGGTGTGGCATGAGAGAACCTGGGCATGTTTTGCACGTTTTTTTTTTTTTTATCCTTGTGTGTGCCCCTTGGAGTTGTTTTCCCTTTTAATTCTTCTGCTCTGTTGGTAAGCTGTTCACTTAATTTCACAGTCTGTAGAAGCCTGGGATAAAGAAGCTGTGTTCTGAAGGGATCAATGGAGGCAACACAGGTGATGTTTTCTGTAGGATAAACAAGTCAGGCATTAAATTGGTTGATTTTCATTACTGGCTCCTGTTCTCCAGCTTTGCCTTTTGTGTAAGCAGACCTGGTTTACATGCCTCCTTATTTCTCTTAAGCATCCGGTGGGAATGTGCATGGAGAAAATTAGCTAAACAGTGAATGTGAAAAATGCAGTTACAGCCTCTGAAAGGGTGGAGGGATGTGTTCTAGAGGGAGGGATATTAAAGGGCCAGAGACTCATGGTACAGCTTTTTAACTTTGTCTGGGTGGATACCCTGAAAAAGCCTTAATGAATGTTCTCTTGTGATTAACGACTAGAAGGAATCCAGAGGGATCCCCAAAAAGATGGTCTCTGAGTTCCAGGGAACTCGTTTGGCTGTCTGCAGTGGGTCAGGCTGCCTTTGCCTGTTAGTTCTTCAAGGCTCCTCTTTATACAGTTCCTAGAATCTCTAGAGCTACCAGATATGTGCAAACTGGATATAACAGTGCACACATCAGCACAAGGGATGCCAATAGAGTAACAGGGTCTCACGTAGAGGCCAACCTAATCTATATGGGAGACTCTTTCTCTGAAAAACAAACAATAAACAGTAAATTCCAAACAAAACAAAACAACAACACAACCAACTCTACTTCCTAAAGCAACAGTAAAAATATTTTACAGTGAGAACTCTAACTGAATCTTCAAGTTCTGCATCCATGAAGTCAACCAACCACAAATAGAAAATATGTGGTAAAAACGCATCTCTACCAGACACGTACAGGCATTTTTTTTGGTCACCATTTCCCTAAATAGTACAAGGTAAAAATCCACATAGCATTTTTCATCGTGTTAGGCATAATCACTCATCTGGAGATGATATAAAGTATTCAGAAGGAAGTGTGATATTAACATGCAAACACTATACTATTTTGTATGTGATTTGATTGGTTGTTTGATGGTCCTGGAGCCCATCCCCCCTGGATAGCCAGGGATAATAACTGTTCTTTCTATTTATCAAAAGAGCCCAGGGAATTCCAAGGCACACAGCTCTGCCAAAGATAGCATTATAGCTTGTGAAGGAAGCCCCCAGGGGACCTGGAACTAAACAGTGAAAGATTAATTGGGTGGGAAAGGCTCTAAGGCCATGAGTCTTAGCTGGAGAACTCAGGGTACTAGACAGTGGTTCTCAAAGTATAGTTCCTGGGGTAGAGTAGCAACAATACGTAGGGACTTGTTAGAAATCCAAGTTTTCAAACAAGCTCTCCACGTGGTCTCAATGCACCCTGAAACTTAGGTGGTGGGTTTGGTAACTCTGGTCTGTGATCTCCACTGCTCAGGAGGCGGCCAGCAGGGGGACTGCAAGTTTAAGTCCAACCTGGACAACCATAATGAGACACTGTCTCAAAATAAAAAGCAAAAAGAGTAGTAGATGGCAACTCGCTGCCAGAGCACTCACCTATGTGTGGGAAGCCCTGCACTCAATTCCCACGCCAAAATTGCAAATCAAGAACAGCAAAGATGAATTGGGCCAGAGTAAACATTTCTGGTGTTGCTTAGTATGTTCAGAGGCTCAGAAACTGTGTGGAAGCCATCTCTTTATGTGTCTTGTGGGAAGGAGGAGCCTCTCCCAGACCCAAGAGACAACTGCTAAGCACTGGAGCTCCGGATTCAGAGGCTCCTTCCTTTGATTTTGGCTATGCTGCTCCATTGCTCTATGCTCCTAAGACCCTTCTGTGCTCAGTTTCTTTTTCAGGAGATAGGTGTAGGAGTGGTGTCTTCCTTATGAAACCATTACAATTATTAAATGGCATAGCACTCACATATTAAAGAGTCCAAAGAAAAACATCTAGTGAAAAAAAGAGCTATTTTTATGATTTCTCATTTAAAAAAAAAGGTGAATCTGTTCTTTCTTTACCTTCAAAATTTAGATCCTGAGTTTCTCTGAGTAGTCTCTGTGGGTAGGCTGTGTTACTGAAATTTTAAGTGCTCATCTCTGTATTTCCTTGTAGGATTGCTTTTGTCCTGGTTTGTCTCATCTCTTTACTCTGTGGGAAATGGACATGGTTATGTGTCCTACTTTTATAGGGAGACTCCAAGCTCTTGCACATTCTACAGATTTTTGCCTTTCTGGCCAAGCCAGGTCCCCAAGGAAAGACTCAGTACAGACTCCATCTCTAATCCGTCCTCCCAAAGAAACCCTAAGGTTTTTTTTTTTTTTTTTTTTTTTTTTTTTTTTTTTTTTTTTTTTTTTGAGTCCATTTAGGAGCACTGTCAACATCTTTTATGTCTCCTGAGTGAGTGCAGCCTCAGGCTCTTAGGGGAGAATTTAGAAAGCCTGCTGTTCCACTAACCTGCTCACCCTGGACTTCAGCTGTTGTCATGGCAATGCTGGGTCTGGTAGGTACGTACATATCCTTATTAGGAGAAAAAAATGAGTTCAGGACTCCTGCGAGTAGGGCATTTTCTCTCTGTGTCCTCCACTGTCACCTTCCATTTGACAGCCCAGAAAAAGAGCTTTGTGTAGTGATCTCTAGCTGGGGAAGGTAAACCCTTGAGAGATGCAGTTTTGTTTTCTGGGGGTGAAGTTTATTATTTATTTGTTGGAATACTTTGTGTCATCCATGACACGCAAA